TGATTACATAAGTAATCAGTATTGACATATTTTAAAAACTGTACTTTGAAAATACTTAGTAGTAATTGTGCTTTATTTAACAACAAATTTATTAATCTTATAAATTTAGTATATAATTAATATTTTCTTACAATTAAACAATCAATGGTTCTGAAAATATTCATATAAATTTTATATGCCAATAAATTGTAATATGTATTAAATTTTAATGGTATTTAAACATTAGTTGAACCTTTATAAAATCGAATTCTTCCCAATGTTTTATAAAAATACCAAGTCTAAAATATCAATTTGTCTTAAATTCTTTAGCCAGTTTTAGAGAAAAAATTTATACATGTTACAGTGATCCCAAAGCAAATCAATATGCTTTCCCTGAAAACCGGTTCCCTGTGCTCATACTAGGGCTTTACATTTCTTCTATTTTGCCTTCTTACACTTTGCTAACCTGGTAATTTCATATTTCTCTGAGATTTCAGAAATACCTGAGTATATTTTTGTACTTCCCTTGGATTTAGTAACCATAACATGCTTAAAAAAAAAAGTTGTCTCTTAAATTTGTGTATCCTAGGTTGTTAACTACATAATTTTTTGTCTAGTCATTCACTGGAATTTGTTACACATTCAGATATGATTTAAACTCAAGTTACTGGCCATCCAATTGGACTTTACTTTTTCAATGAAACTTACTTGTTATATGCTGTTAAACCTTTTTTAAAAATTCAACCCCAGCTTTTAATTTTGTCCAAGATTAGTGTCCCCTCACAAAATCATTTGCTTAAGTTCCAATTGCTTGTGTTACATACCAATATTCCTGTTATTATGATATATATTCCTGGTATATTAATGTTATTAAAAACTCATTGACTTTCATGATTATATCTTTATTTTGTAGAGCTATTAATTTTTTATCTACCAGGAAATAAGAGACTATTTCTGTGTATTTACCATGTCTGTATATTTTGCTAATTTATCAAATGTCTGAAACACACAGTTGTGCCCACTTAGATTATTAGTGTTAATTAAATGCTGGACTCCTATTCCATTTGGTTATTATGTGTGATCATCAGTGCTGATCAGCCTTTTCTATTACTGATAAAGAACGAGTGTATTTGATGCAACTACTTTACTTACAAGTCTTTCCTAATACAGAGGAAAATACATGCCTTCATATTTTAAATGTATATATAATTAGAAAAAGAATCCCAGCTATTAAGTATTTTTTTTAAAAAACAATAGAAATTAAAAAATATTCCACCCTGTTTACGGTTTTGTATATATATCGTTAGTGCCTATTTATATCCTTCATATTAACTTTTCTGTTTGGGTATTCTGAACTCTGAACCTTCAAGAGATTCAGATTGTTTTATTTAGCCATAACGATTTATATTTTTTGAAATTCATAATGTCAGAAATTAGCCAGGGAAAAACCATTTAGGTGACTTTCCTTAGCCTTTCAAAACTGCCTCTGACTTTTTATTTTAGATAACCCTTGTTTTCTTTCTGGCAACAAAAAGACATCCCAGAGATATTCTGGTTGATTTGTTTCTTTTTTTGTTTGTTTTCTTTCCCTAATAACTAAGGAGCTGGTTCTTTTTTGTTGGTGAATATTGGATAACAAGTATCTGAATTATCCATAGTGCTGGCAGAGAGCAAAACTATTTTTGCTGCTATTGGTCTCTTTTAAAGAGAGATCTGAGGAATATATATATATATATATATCGGTTTATGAGTTCACATTGATTTTTCTTCTGTAACATATCATTTTGCTGTGTCTATTTTCCTTTTATTATGAGGTTTCACCAGCTTCAAAGACTCTGACCCACATTAATAAGAAAGTTGCTTAGTAAGCAAGTTCTCAAAGCAGGCAATTTAGAATGAGTAGTTTTAAGAAAAGTTTATCTGGACCGGTAGTAAATGTCAAGGGTTATTCTAAATGTCAAGGGTTACTTACAAAATAAGAATAACATTGAAACCATCTAGTGAGTCCTCCAAATTTAATTTGTTCACTTTGTTGGTGTTATTTTATTTTTAAAAATATGTTTTTTATTGATTTTAGAGAGAGGAAGGGAGAGGGAAAGAGAGATAGAAACATTGATGAAAGACAAGCATCCATTGGCTGCCTCCTGCATGCTGCTACTGGGGATTGAGCCCGAATCTGGGGCAAGTGCCCTGACTGGGAATGGAACCTGTGACCTCTCAGAGCATGGTACTATGCTCAACCAAATGCACCGCACTAGACAGGCTGGTGTTATTTTCTTAAATGTTGAAATAATGGTGGCAGGGTTGTTAAGTATTTCCTTGTTAACTTTTTTTTTTTTGAACTCTGGGTGGATCTATTAACTGTCAAAATTCAAAAGAAGGTTGAAAATTCCAACCTTCAAGAGATGACATATTCTTCTAGACTTTAGGAGCTGCTGGAACCATGAACCAGAGGACCTACTATTACGATATTTTTCATTTTTTTGCATAGATTTACAATGATCACATCCATGCAATGAAATCCAAGGTCTCTGTGATAACAGCATTTTGCATGTTGCAATATCCATCACCAAAAAACCCTTTTCTCATTTCTATGAAAGGGCTCTGATCACCAATTTGGTTAAGGTGCCTATCGTGGACTATCCACAGATAAACCACGTCCAAACGGGATTTGGCTTATGTAAGAGCCTAGTACCTTCTTCTGTATCTAGATGGATTGGGTGGGGTGGCGCCACGTAAAAAGAGGAAATGCTGTACAAACCACAGGAGGTTACAAGGAGGAAGAGGTTCTCACTTGGCATAACAACAACAAAAATGTGAATGCTACAGCCATGTGCCAGGCACTCATTTATTTCCTTTCTTCCCTGTCCCAACCTTCCTTGTCTTCTAAATGGTGTTGGTTGTATTAATTTGCTGGGACTCCCAGAACAAAACAGCACCGACCAGGTGGCTTCAGCCGTAGAGTTCTGTTTTCTTACAGTTCTGGAGGATGGACGTGCCAGCCTAACGTGCAGGCAGCTTGGTTTCTCCTGAGCCTCTCTCCTGGGCTTGCAGAAGGCTGCCTTTTTGCTGTGTCCTCACATAGTCATCCTTCTGTCTGTGTCCTAAAATCCTCTTCTTCTTATAAGAACAAGTAATGTTGGATTAGGGTCCATCTATCTGACCTGATTTCACTGGAATTTCTTCTGAAAAGATCACGTATTCCTATCTTTAAACACAATCATGTTCTAGCATTCTGGGGGGTTAGTACTGGGGGTTAGTACTTTAATATGTAAATTTTGGATGGAGACAATTAAGACCATATTATTGGTCATTGAAATTTCACATCCAAGTATAAATTTATTTAGGCTAATTTGAAGCTGGATAATTATTACACTTTCATTATAAAACTTTTTTTTTAACCTTTGTATTGACTAGCAGATTAAAATTCTCCCATTTGGATAGTGCTTAATAAACATTTAAATAATATTATCTTTAAAAAATTTCACTTCTTAAAACTCTGTCTTTTTTCACATTTAACTTCAATTATGTTTCTTTTGTCATTTCAAATTCAAACTTTTTTTAACATATTGAGGTTGGCAGCTTATCTTTTGATGCCTATATCATATAACATCTTCTTGGTACTATATAAATAAACAACTTACTCTCAAGAAGCTATCCCTGCCACAGTATATTAAAATGCTTACAATAAACAGTGATTTTATTTATAGTTTAAATTATTAGTTACTTTGTAACTAATACAGATATACTACAATAAAATGCAATACAATATGATACAATACAAAAGAGTTCCTTGTAACTTTCATTTGCAGAAAGAAGCACTTAGATTTGTAAACATTTATCACCTTTGAAGCTGTTGTGCTGTATTTGTGAATAACACATTTCTAAAGTTTAATAAATGTTAATTATATTTCTATAATGAGAGTAGTTTATGTATAAATTATAGTGTCCTTTAATTCTGAAGAACTAAGCATGTGACAATATCATTAGACTTTGCATAATGAATATTTACTTCTTTAAATATGAATTATGGTAACATTCAAATCAATGGAAAAAATGATTGGAGATGTGGTATCATTTATATTTAGGTTCTTTTTCTTGCCCTATTTTTTGTACCTTTGTTATTTCAGTTTTAGTCTCTAAATGTTAGTTCTTGCTTTTCTTAATATATTTACTATATGTTTATATACACAAATATACAAATAAATTCTTTATTCCTTTCTCCAAAATTCCTATCTCAGCATCACTGTTTTCCTTCAGGACTTCTCAATATACCCTACTGGTTGACTTTGCTATTTGCCCTCTTAAAAAGAAAGAAGGAAGAAAGAAAGAAAAGAAGGAAGGAAGGATATTAGCCCTGATGTTCATAGCATTATGAAAACCAATAGTTAATTTTAATCTAATTGATATTTATTTATTTCATTCATCTTTTCTAATCTAAAGCAAATTTTTGAGAAATGATAACTGGATCCCCACTTCCAAGTGTGGTCTAAATTAATGCTTCACAGTTGGCACTGTATATAATATTTGTTTGAGAAACAATTCATTAAATGTGTCAGAAAATGTTACATAGATTTGGAAGATAAATATAGAAAAATAATCCTCTTTCATTTCACAGACTTCTGTACATTTGAAAAACCTTGTATCCTCTTTGCTCAATAAGTAAAATATCACCTTTCTCACGATCATTATAAAAAAACTTCTGATTAAAACAAATAATTTCCTGTATTCTAATATTTTTGATACCTGCTCACATAGGTATTTCTGTTTAATTCTATATATCCTTTAAAAAGCTAACAGGTAAATAGTTGGAAAAGTTAGATTTTTGTAAAAATTCTTGGAATTTTTATTGGACTGATAATCTTAAAGATAGTCAAATAACTTCTGGGTATCAGTTAAAACTTTTCACTTCTAATTTGAGGGGTTGTTGGGTGTTGTTTTGCTTCACGGCATTCGTGTGTGAATATTTTCTCAGTTTTTCAGTGTTCTGGTCTATAACTGTTGACTTTGCTTTTTCTTCAGGATGTTTTGAATAATTTGGGATCTTGTGAACTAGATGAAGATGATCTAATGCTCGATCTAGAATTATTAGAGGAACAGACTCTTCATCCACCTGGTAAGTATGAAATAAATGCACACCGTTATGCAACTCTTTCCTTGATAAGCTATATATTGTTTAGGCTGCATTCATTCTTTTCAATCCCCAGTTTGTGCAAGGCGCTTGCTCTGTACCATGGACTCATGATTCTGGTGAGCTTAAAATATATTATGGAAATGTAAATCCTTTTGGAAAAGAATTAGAAATTAAAAAAAGAAACACCAAAAGAACCTGGCCCTGGCCGGTTTGGCTCAGTGGATATAGTGTCAGCCTGCAGACTGAAGGGTCCTGGGTTCAATTCCGGTCAAGGGCACATGCCTGGTTTGCAGACTCAATCCCCAGTGGGGGGCATACAGGAGGCAGCCAATCAGTGATTCTCTCTCATCATTGATGTTTCAATCTCTCCCTCTCCGTTCCTCTCTGATATCAATAAAAATATATTTTAAAAAACAGAACTAAAAAAACCCTGTAAAATAAAAGAACAAAATCCATATTAAATGCTTAATGAAATAGTTAATATTTTTGGAAGAAAATAATAATTAAAATTTAATTTTTAATTTACATTATATAACCATATGGAAGGTTGGTGGATCTGAATTTACTGTTTCAAATCTGTCACTTCAATAATAATTGCAACATTCATGTTGATGCAATAAAGTTGACCTCAAAATTAATAATTACCAATAGCAACCACAAATACATATTCATAAATACATACACACACATAAATATAATTATAGTATGAGATAAATTCTTGTTGAATGTATTCATAAGGGAGCCCATAATATTAGTAATACTTTATATTTATATTAAAGCATAAAATGTGTCCAATACCAAAATTACTCCCTTTGAAACTGTTATAGGAATAAATTATTCATTCAAATTTAGATATTTGACTATAAAGACAAGCTTTTATTATGAATAACACCTTTAACACTGTCATTTTCAAGTCAAATTAGAAATAAAATTAAATTGGAGCTAAGAAATTTTGTATCCTACTGCATACATTTGAGAAAAATCAGCCTCTTGGATTTTAGTGTCTAAATTTTAAATATTAGCATTTAGATATAACTTTCAGCTCTAATATTTTGTGATGAAGTATTTTTTAAGTAATGTCATATTAATAGTTGTCAAAAGAAGGTGATAACAGTGTTTATAATTTTTGCACTTTCTTTTACATTAATATTAATAAGTTACTTAAACATAGCTTGTGTGATTCAGTTGTTGACCAAGAGGTCATTGATTCAATTCCTTTTCAGGGCATATGCCTGGGTTTGGGGCTCAATCCCCAGTAGGGGGCATTCAGGGAGCAGCCAATCAATGATGTTTCTCTCTCATCCCTGTTTCTATCTCTCTATTCTTTTTCGTTCCTATCTCTCTATAACAATCAATAAAAACATATGTTTCAAAAAAAGAAGTTAAATTATTTAGTTGAATCAAAAAGAATAACTATTTCTTGAGATATTCTTCCAGCAGTTGATTTGAAATATATTTTTTGAAAATATAGATTTTTCTCACTTGTATGCAGATAACTTATACAATTTTGTCATTCATGTTTATCATAAAAGACTTACAAATGTTGAAAATGTAGGGAAATTTGTCAAACTCTAGCAAATTTGTCAATTTCTATCAAAACTATACCTGCATTTACCTTTAGATACAACTGTCTACCTTCTAGAAATTTAATCCTTAATCAGTGGAAAAACAAAATAATGTATGCAAATAATGACTCATTGCAAATATTTGTATTTGCAACAGGACACTTGTTGAATATCCAGTGGTATAGGAAGCAGTCATTACAAGGATTATTGAAAGTGTCACTATGTGCTGTAGAATGATTGTAAGGATGTATTGTTGTTCGAGAATTTTACAATAATGGGTTAGACGGGCAACACCTAAACTCACTAATTAATCTTAATGTCACTAAAAGAGTAACAACTAGACATTCTGTCTCTCTTAATGCCTAGAGAAGTTCATAGTCCCACTCCTTCTGTTCATAAGTACTTAAGTCTATTCTGTTGTCTTGGTTAAACTATGATATTATGGGAAATATAGAGATTAGATCCAGCAACCACATATAGAATGTGGGGAATTCTACAGGATAATTGGACTGGTTTCTTCAACAAAGAAATGGCACTATAAAAAGAGGATAGGTGTTTTAGATAAAAAGTGACAAATGGAATGTAACATCTTTCTAGGCAATTCATGTAGAAGAACATAAAATTACCATAAAAATATACTTCTGAGTTAACCAGAGAAATTTGAGAAATAATTGAATTATTATTTCTTTTGGATGTGTGGAAAATCTTTATTTTTTGTTTGTTTTTAAGGAAAACTAAAGCGATGCATGGTTAAAACAATATGATATCTAATATTTGTTTTACTTACAAATTTGGAGGTAATAATAGATGAAACAAAGTTGGAAAATATTGAAAATGATCAATGTTGTGGTGAAAGGTTTATTCATTAGTCATAATATTTTTTCTATTTTATGCACTTTTAAATACTTTACAACAAAAATAAAACCAATTAATAATTTAAAATGATTATAGATAGTGTAGCTATCTCAGTTATGTTTGGTAGGCAACTGTGATAAAGAGTAAAAAATTACTTAAAAACATAAAGCCTTAACTGTTTGGGAACAAAAATGAACATCTTTAAACTCCAATTTCTTTTTTATAGCTATGTACTTCATTAATTTATTGTACAGAAAATAATGATACAGTAAATACTATGAATCTCCTGAGTCTACTAAGATGAAGATAGCTTGGTTGGAGCCACTAAGGTGCCTTAGGAATCAACTGATTTAACCAAATTGTTCATAAGATAAATAGTGTTGTATTGCATATATGGAATGCAGTGCTGCTAAAAGAGATATCCCTTAGAGTTGGCTTATTTAATGTTGCTTAGTAAATTGTCTTTGAAACCCTGTTTCACATTGGATGCCACATTATAGGTTTTGAAAAAGCCCCAAATCTTTATTTAGCACACTAGCTCAGAAATAAGAATTTCTGGTAACTTTACACAATTTATTTTCTTTATTAAGCAACATAACTAAAAGTCTTTCCAGAATTGAAGAAGCATTATTGATAACTGATATTGATACAAACTCACTAATACTAAACATTTTGAAGTAATGGTTTAAATAAAAGTGATTTTCAAAAGTCTGAAACTAAAATAATGGTACCATAAATTCTACTACTTACATTATTGTAAATCATTAAAGGCTTTTTAATACCTTTGTTAGGACAAAAATATCTACTTTTAGCTGTAGAGTCTTTTTAAAGCAAAGATTCATAGAAGTTTATAAGGCCAAGATAAGTTTTTAAAAAGATCAGAGAAGTGTTTTTGTTTTAAAACTATTAAGTCAAATATTGTAGTAATTATCATATGTGGCATTTATAAATTTTATTTAGTTTAAAATACAATTAGATTTGCAAAGAATAGAGAAATCACGATGTGTAGAAAATATAGAAATTCTGCTGTCTTTTTTACCTCAGTGATTTGCACATTGTAGATGCTCAGTTGGTATCTATTAATGTGATTTTTATTTAAAATATAGCCAGACATCTTTGGAGATATAGGTACATATCAGAATTTTTAAAACAAAAATTAGTAAATTTAATCTTTTTCTTAGAGGAAACCAAATACCTTTAATTAATACATTTATTTTAATGGACAAAGTTTTGAAATCTTTAATTAAAAAATTTCCTTGCATTTTGAAAAATGCATATATTGGATACTGTTCTTTTGAGTGATTTAACATGCAAATAGACAATCTAAAGGACAATAGCATAATATATGTATTACCTGCACTATGAGCAACATGAGCTAAAGTATATCAACAGGCCAGGTAAAATATCAGAATACCAAAACAAAAAATACAGTGTGAATTGTGTGGTTCAAGACCTGTGTCATAGAAACATTCATATATTTACACATTTGTATATGTAACTATATATTTAATCATGCTGTTCAATTTTGTGTTTATGAGTGTACCTACCTTAGTAAAGATTGCTATTTATTATTGTAGTCATAATAATTCTGGACATCTTTAATATGTTTTTTTGAATTTCATTTTTTGCTATCTGCATTTTCATCTAAAAGGAATTGTAAGTTTACAGTTAGGGTTTTAAAAGTGTGTTGTAGTTGTTTTTTTGTTATTTGCTTTTTAATCCTCACCTGAGGATATGTTTCCTATTTGTTTTTTAGAGAGAGAGAGAAACAAACAAACACATTGATCTGTTGCCTCCTATAAGCACTCCAACTTGGTATTGAACTCATAACCTAAGTATATACCCTGACTAAGAATCGAACCTGCAACCTTTTGGATATTATTATTATTATTATTTTTAATGAAAGCAAGAAAAGACAGTTTCAGAGAAAGGAAGTGTATGAATTAATTCAAAGTGAGTCCCACAAGGAGACTTCCTTGAGGAGAAAAAATAAAAGCAACTTTTCTAAATAATTTACTTTGATCTTGGCATTATCTGATTTTTATCTTTGTACATTCTAATCTAAAATCTAAGCTTTTAGATTAAAAAGCCTATGGATAAGCCTTCCATATTTCTTTTGTCACATTTTCTTGAATTCATGCTTAAATTACTCTTCTGGATAATTTTATGAGTAACTAATATGCATTGTGTTTCAAATACAGGATTATAAGTTTGTTTAATACCAGACATATCATTTCTCTTTTGTAAAATTTATTGTTTTATAATGCATATAAATTTTTATAATGCATGTATGACCAGTTATTTTTAATTATAAAATATCAAATGCTATCATTTGTACTTTGATAAATTAAAATATATATTACTGAACCTACCCAACTTTTCATCTCTCTTTAGTCTCTGAATCATGTTGTTATGGTCATGCTTTGGCCACAAATGAGTCTTGGAAGAAGATGTTAGCAGTGATGTTGGTTAGATATATCTCGAGTGTTTTAAAAAAACACACACCACATACATAGTAACAAAATTTAATAGGTATAATACTCAAATGAGGGATCTAAAGTA